TCTATTTATAGAATAGTCCAATTTGACTTTATTAATTTTATTATTTTTTGGTAAATGTTGTTTCACTTCTTTCATTGTATAGAATTACACTGTTACACTCTTCCATTCTATTATTGTTTTCAATATTTAAGTTTAAATCAGAGCACATTTTTTACCTTTTTTAATTTTGATACATGTTGGTGAAGATTTTTGCTTTTGTGTAAAAGAAAGAATGAACATTATTCAGATCTGTGTCCAACATGAGTAATACTATTTATATTATATTGTATATTTGTAAATGAGTCAAGACCTAAATCTGAAATGTTTTTATTATTGTTTAAATTAATGGATGTTTCTACAGTATTTGAGTAATGTTTTCTATGTATTCACTGTTAAATTTGCACGTCACTACTACTGTCTTTTATCCTAGGTTTTTCTCCTCTCCCCGAATGAGTTTCGTATTCCACCATCCAATGGGAAACATGCCTACAACATGTAAGGCTGGTGTGTATAATACTAGTATGCATGCCTCTCTCAATGTTATTATTATTATTATTAATGTTTATTATTATTGGAATTATCATTTATTTTAAATTTACTAGAGCTAATACTGTTCACTAGTGCTAATTATGTTCATTGTTCTAATAATGTTCATTGTGCTCATTATGTTCTTTGTGCTAATAATGTTCATATTGCTGATAATGTTCACTGTGCAGTGTTTCTTGTATATCTATACCAGTATCGTTACTAACCAATTATCATTTAATACAAGTTAGGATTTCAATTTAAATTGACATTGATCATTGATATCTAGAGTAAAACTAAACTTAGTCTAATTTTAAACACCCTCATTTTCTCTGGTAAAAATACACTTAGTTTGAATGATATATATAGAGCATGTTGAACTAACAGACTAGCATTCATTGTATTAAACATGTAGATATGTCTTGTAGTAGGTATTATTCTGGGTGCTTTGCAAGTCACTATTGGAAGGGTGTCAATTAGAAAATGCTTATTTGCATGAATTCATTCATTTAGTCACTCATACATTTTTAAGTTTTGTAGTCTAAATTCATACAATTGACCATAAATCTGTATAGTATATTTACAGACACAAAATCTCTGCAAATACGTCAAAACTTTGATACAAACATATAATTTCTGATACAGGCTAGTACAATATCTTGATTTTATTATGTTTAGAATGATAATAACTATTTTTTATATCTCCCGTTTGACAAATATATTAACATAATATTACTCAGAAAATATCACTTATTTTATTACTGTTATGTTAGAACTAATGTAAACTTAGAAGCTAACCATCATGGCTAGTAATTATCAATTAAAGAAATCAATATACTTGTGAAAATAATTATGATAATCACCTAGAACTTCATTTACATAGACAATTTTGTTTGTTTCTTTCTTGAAAAATATATAAATATGTTGATTTTGTCAAATTCTGTTAAAATATTGTTTGATCTAGTGTTTATATATCTCATTGCTAACAATGTTCTAATAAAATATTCTCTCTATCTTATTTCAGGCCTTTTGTCTCCAACCATTCAATTTCCACGAAATTATGAGAAAAGCTAAAAGGAAACATTTGCGAAGTGCTGCAAGACCTGATACAGAATCTTAAAAAGTTATTTTGTAGTTGTTGATTTTATGTGATTGTTAATGTTCTAAGTGCTGTTTTAGGATTAAATTTTTTTCATTTATTTATTAAAAATAAAGCGACTGCCTTTTTATTTTAAAACTTTATACAAGGCTTTTTTATTTAAGCTAATTGACGATTGTCGGCCGATTATTAGCATGTGGTACAAATTAAATCGAGGCATAATCGAGTTGCATGTTTACTTCTCAATAATTCCAATACACACATTATTTAACTGTTAAATATGTCAATGGAATACAATTTTCTTCAGATCTTTCTCTTTGTTGTCAAAAATTTCAAATGCTGGTAAAAATAATATTTTTATCTTTATTCCTATAATCTTAAAAAGACTTCTTGAAATGTTTTTACTTGTTGTCAATGTTGCCCACTATCTTGAATCTCAAAAGAATTTTGGGTACGTGCTTTGGCAAATCACTAAAATACACGTGTATTGTAGACAAATTGCTGAAGCGCTTCGCTTGTATAAATGCACACCTTGATCTGTGTTGATTGCTTAAATAAAAACGCCTATGGTTTTATGTCAATGTTAGATAAAAATCAGTGCTGTTTTTTTTTTTTTTTTTTTTTTGCAAAAAAGAGAATTCACGGATTTCGTATAATTATCAGGATTGTGTAACAATTGATCAGAAATGACTATTAAAAAACTCTTCAACTTAACTGGCAATATAAATCTTAATCAACAGACCTACATTGTAAGCATAATGACTGAGGTCCAGTTTGGACCAAAAAATCTATTGCATAATAATGTGTTTAATTAGAGACCGAATCAGATTGAATATGCATTTTAAACTAGTCAAAACTTTACCTCAATAAAATTGAAATGATATTAGCAGTTCAGAGACAGTATCAATTTCTATTTAATTTTTCATCAAAAAATACACAAAACCCTGAATAAACAATAATATTGGTAAATTTAACAAAGGTTTTAAACAATTGTTACTGATGATAAACTCCTGTCAAGAAATATTTTAACTCATTCAAGTTTCATATGAAAATGAATCTCATTTTAAAACTTTGGTAGAAATGTTTATACTGGCTACATTGTGTTTTGAGTAACAACAACATTTTTCAAGCTTTGTGCTATCTTACCACAACTCATTCAACAAAAATGTTGGTTTCTCCTGCAATAGCAACATGTTTGATTTTATGTCATGGATGTACAATATTTTGATAATTCTGATTGTATGAGGATGTACAAATTTTAATTGATACATTAGTATATCCATTATTTGATTCTGAATTCTGCATATTTTTCTTTTTATTCTGAAGAACTGTAACTTCTCCATTCTCAAATGCATTTAAACTCATACTCATGTCTTTATACCTGTTTGTACTCTTTGTGTTTTGATACTGCTTATCTTAGATTTAATCATATTTTTCGGTGTGTATTATGGAATTTAGACTGGTTTTATTCAAGTGTAATTTCAAAAACCTCAATTTCATACATTATAAGGACAATATTTGGATTAATGTGGTTATAGAAACTCTGCATGTAAACCAAGAATATGATGCTAGATGTATTATAATTGAAATTAGATTCATAAGACACTATATTCATAATTAGACACATCTAATAGCTTATGTTGAAGGTCATTTCAAGAGGTTAGTAAAATGCATAAACTGTTACCATTGCAAATGAGAATGATAAATGAAGGTGCTTATTGAAAGTTGTTCAGATGAGAAAAGACCAAATGAAGAGATACATATAATAATAATATAGATGTAAGTTTATGCTGCGCTAATATAGCAGATATATCAGTATATGTTTAATATTGAAGACCTAAAAAAAAAAATTATTTAATTTCTATGTCAAATGATATTATTGTAGAAATCAGTGTGAAACCAGTAAGTGTAGGGGTAGGTTGTAATACTAGTATAACAATCTTTAATACAGAAATTGATCTCTTGATTATATCTCTTTCCACTGATATTAAACCACATTTTATATTTTCATTATTTTATTCTTTATACATCTTGTATATTTTATCATTCTTCATTATTATTCTAATATACAAAACACTTGATGTCAGCTAGATCTCACATACTTCTTGTGTTCCTGATAGAAACATTAACTATTAGTGAATAGAAAACATCCTCAATACCATAGAAGTGTGAAAGCTTCACCAATAAAAAAAAAAAGATAGGGAAGGTGTTTTCTATAATATCAGACTGCATATCATTTGTTTTATGACATTCATGTAGATTTCCCTGTGATATTTTTAACATAGAATCTCATTCATTTAAGTGTTATTTTTTTTTTATTTTTGCATTTTTTGTTAGAAATATTTAGCATAATTATTGGTAACTTATTTTGATTGGGTCCTTTTTCACTCACTCTACATGTAATAATTATTTTCAATATATTTATTGTGCACTCTATAAAATCATGTTGGGTATTTGTTTCAAGTATCTAAAGTGTTTTGTCTTTATGATTCCTAGATGTGCATTAACATATCTGTGTTTTTTCATCTAACCCAGCTAATGATTATCTATTTAGAATTATATTAAATTATTTTTATATTAAAAATTGTATTATATTTGTGAAGGATTGTAATGATGTTTATACAATTTAAATTGTGTTTTTTTTTTGTGGCTAATCACAATGTATTCAAATTGTTTGTGTGATACATGCTTTCAATACAACATGTTATTAAATTGATCTGAATTTCTTTATTTTGTTGAGTTACAATCTTAATGGGTTATACTCAAGATAATTATAGAACAGCAAAATAATATTCTAATCAGTATCCAAAAATTGAATAGTCTTTTATATTTTGAGGTAATGCACACAGATGAAAAATATGAAAAATTGTTCTTGTTTAAATTTGGAATTGGAAATGTATAAATTTCTTTGCCTAATTGACCTTTATTCACATAACTTCCCAAGAACAGTTTATGTACACCTAAATCATCTAGTACTGACTGCTTTTTTGAGGGGCACGACTTTGGAGTAAAATCTTGCACATGTTCATTTTCATTTCAATTGCATGATCATCATGTGAAACCACGACCATTCAAATGCCCTCACCATTAGGATAAAAAAATTTATTCTACCTATCAAAGCTTGGAGCATAAGAATTTTAACCATCAAAACTTTCCTCAGACTGTAAGCACCAAGTCCTGGAACTCTGTGTATTTAAGTTGTAGTACTATTGGCAAAGATTGAGTTTACCCAGTTGAGTGAAATTAAATGGGATAAAAATCATGCTGTGGAGGTCAACCAAAATAGGCACTCACAACAAATGTTTCAGCAAAATTTCTCTTCTCTTCTATAAAGTCGCAGAAATTAGTATATAAACATTTGTTTCATTTTTTAAGATAATATCTAACAATGACTTCATATTAATAATCAATAATATTGTAATCAAAAAATATTTTCAGCATATCAAAAACAATACTAGTAATATAACAAATAATGTATACAATATGATGATATCAAAAGAATTGTAAAGTGAAGCTGTCCAGTACAACATGGAATGATGTGTCTCGCAAGACTTGCAAGTAATATACTATTTTACAACTCTTGGCTTTCTTGATTGGGCTGAGTGATATTGGGTTAAAGGGATAACACTCAAATTTGAGTCTCACAATATTTTTTAAAAATTTTTCCTAATGATATTGGTAAAATCATCCATCCTATTATTATCAACAATCAAGTACTAAAACTTTCTCAATAATGGTTTACTCTCATCTTCTTCACATTGTCTACTTCCTTCTGAAACAAACAAAACACTAGAGCCACTCGTGGCACAGAGTGGGACTTTGCAAATGTAGCAAATTGCAAAAGACCCCGAAAAAATCATCCTTCCACGATAATTAGATCAAGCGCAAGAACAGTCTATAGTTGAGAAATTTTCATTTTTTTAGAAGATTCTAATACCGGAAGCAGACGTCAGACCTCACAAATGAAAGTATCAGCAGATAGCCAAGGTCAATGACCTTTGATCTTGTAAAAGAGAAGGTCTAAAAAGGTCAAGATCAAGAGATATACGTCATCAAAATTTCTAATTGCACACGACTATAAAACCGGAAGTTGACATAGGATGGCAAATATGAAAGTACAAATAGATAGCCAACGCCAATGACGTTTGATCCTACAAAGGTCAAGGTCAACAAAGGTCAAGGTCAAAAATTGAAAATTTCGAATTTCCAAAACCTGTTCCTTTTTTTGAACTAAGAAGCGGAAACAACCGAAATTCTAAGACAAAGTGGCTCACAATACGAGGTAATTGTATGCAAAGTTCCATTTTGAACAAACGTATACTTTGCGAGTTATGCTCCTGGCCAAAAATATCAATAATGAGTATTATAACCCAGATGTGCCACGCCCACCTTAATTTTTTTTGCATAGGGTAATTGATATTCCAAATGTTATGTTGTGTTTTAAATTTCAAGCTTCTACATTATTCAGGTCAAAAGATATAGGTCAACAAATGTCAATAAAGGTCAAAATCGAAAAATGAAAATATCCAAATGTTGAAACCCGTTCCTTTTTTGGAACTATAAAGCTGAAACAACTGAGCTGTTAACACAAACTGGCCAAAAGGATGAGGTAATTGTGTGCAAAGGCCCTTTTTTAACAAACGTATCCTATGCGAGTTATGCCCAAGCCCCAAAATGTAAACAATTAGTAATTCAACCCGGATGTGCCACGCCCACCCCAATTTTTTTGTCATAGGTGAATTCATATTCAAAGTGTCTAGTTGTATTCCAAATATCAAGGTTCTACACAAAATAGGTCATAAGATATACAGATATACAAGATCAAAATGACACAAATATGGTAAAACAAAACTCAAATTTGAAAAAATCACCAATTTCAATTTTGCTTTAAAAAAGCAATTGTTCTATATCTATGTAAAGTGCATGAAAAGCACATTAGGAAACCGAAAAAATTAACCCTCTAGGTTAATTAGGTCACGTGCTAGAGCAGTCAAAAGTTGCAAATTTGGCTTTTTACAGATAGCTATAAAACCGGAAGTACATGCGGAGGTCAAGGTCATCAAAGGTCAAGGTCACATGGTGTGATCGTTTAAAGCATGAACAAATTTCAACCGAAAGTTGCAAAGAGGCAAAAGCGAAATTCAAAATGCGGCTCCCAATGTTTTTTGCGCAATCGATTGCGAAATACATTCACATCAAATTTGGGAATATCAACATTTACCCTGAGGCCCCATTTTGAGTTTTACAAAAGTGTGTTTTTTCAATATGGCGGCCAAAGTATCACTTCCGGTCTGGATTTTATTTTCTTCGTTTTTTTTAATAGCATTTACTTACGATCAGCATAAATTTTGTTGACCTATTTCAATTACACTAGAAGTTATTCGACCAGAAGTGGATTGTACTTTCAATTGATTCCCCGTTTAAAACCGGAAGTAAAGTTAAATATTTGACAACTACATATTATTTGCCTTAGTGATGTCCCTTTGCATATTAAATTTCAGATCAATCGATGCAAAAGCAAAAAAGTTGCAAAAAAATTGAAAAATTTGATCGAAAAAAGTGAGCGACGAATTTTCGAACTTCGTAATTTTTCAAGTGCTATCAGGTCAGAAATTACAGGTAGATTGTAAAAATGAAAACCCGAAGAAAATCGATGCAAAAATACGCCTTCTAGAGCCGATTTTTGACTTTTTGCACATGTTCAACTGTGGCACTTCCGGTTTTGCAAAAATGTTCCAATATATATTTAAGGAACACGTCGCCACTACAGAAGGTCTAGAGAAGTTGAATGGTTGCTGCAACTACTGCAGTCTAGGTTCAGGAAGGTGTGTAAATTTGGAAAAAAAAAAAAAAAAAAAAAAAAAAAAAAAAAAAAAAAAAAGAATGGACATTTCGATAACAATTAACAGAGTATATAGAGATTTAGTCTTGATGTATCATACCTACATGTTTTTATTTTCACTTTAAGTATCACTTTGCTTCTTAATCTTTCAATATAGATTGCTCCACTAAGTATGAAAGGATTTGATATTATGATTGTTGATGGTTATGTTATGTAAAGCTCACCTTGTACATTATACACAGGTAACTCTTGTAAAGCTATATCAAGTGTAGTATATGTAGATAAATTTTGAATTTCAGCTCTCTCTATAACTTCTAATACTGTCGGCTACAATATAATAATGATAGGGTTCATATAATACAATAACTACACATATCTTGATAAATACCAATACTTTTTAAATTTCACTTTATTTACGTCAGCTATATGTCCACAATGCTTTGTTCAGACAATCTATTTAAGATACTACATGTATATTAAACATACCTGTACATGACATAAAGCAACCTGTAATTTATTTTTCTCTAAATCTATCACCAGTTCTTTTAATCCCTGAAAATTATACCTATTGTCTTAGAATTGAGTACATTATTATCCTTATACATAAATGCAATAACAAAACAATTTCACTCCACAAAAAGAATAAAAAAAAAAGAGCCATATTCTCTCAAAATTCTGAAAATTTTCAACTACAAATATATATTGTAAGGCAATTTATTAGATTAGTTTACTTACCAATATTGCACTATAGTCTATATTATAAATATGACAACAATCAAATATCACAGATCTATTACTCCCACCTATATTATATAAAAACACAGCTACTATATTAATTACATACAGCTAAAATAAATATAACATAAAGGCTTTATCTAAAACAGCTCAGTTTCCAGTGTTATTTTATTAATACCTGATTCTTGGGCAGGTGAAATCATATCAGCTGTTCTCTCACAAAAATTAGAGCATTGTACACTATACACATACATTGCAGCAAGATTAACAATATGAGATATACAGTATGTCATACTATAACTAATACCATTGTCTATATCAGGAAAAGAGGAAAACATTAAGATCATTTATATAATAACAATGGCTTCATGATATAAAACATCAAATTTACCTTCTGTAGCTTTTTGTACGATGGTTTCTGATATAAATTCAGCTGACGGAAAATTCATTCCTTGATTTGGTTGTACAACTAGAATATTTCCCTGATTTATATACTGAAAACCAAAATAACTCTGGTAAGGTGATATTAAAACAAAAAGGGTTAGGGTTAGGGTTAGGGTTAGGTGGGGGGGGGGGGGGGGGGGGGGGGTAACCCCTCTACTTCCCCTTTAGCTCTGCCACTGTTAAGATAGCTTGCAAGGCAAGGTAATATACGCCCACTGTTAGCTTAGATTTTGAATAAAACAAGTAACAATAAACAGTATGAAATAATCAGTCATACACTTCTTGTGAACTTTTTAGGGTGATACTGAATGATATTACCAAGTTTTGTCAAAATCTGTCAAGAATTGGGCCTTTTAGAGTGTTTATAGAAAACAACAAAGCCATCTACCTTTAATTTTGGTCTAGCAAGAGGATATAATAACATTAATAATGATAATCCAATTCCTACCATTATACCATACTGTAAATAGAATGTAAATATTACATGCAATAAATAAATCTTGTTTATATATTTGAAGTCAAAAGTAAGTTTTCAATAAAATGCTCTGTCCTGTAAGCCTCTTTACTGAATTAATAAGGCATGTCATTATTCTCTACTTACATAAACATTGTCATTTGAGTCAATTTACTTGTTTGAGGGTTGGTTACCTTTGTGAAATAATTGTTCCCTATTAAATACTTTAGTACCAACGAATTTTGAGCTAATTTTATGTTTGCATCTCTTCTTTTGATTGATGAATATACTGATAATTTTCAAATTGAAATACTATTTCACTAACCTCTATACCTATTACTAGAGATGATATAAATGTAATAATTAAAGGCACCAAGTCTATTTCTGGAAATAATATAAACAATATAGTTGGTATATTCAACAAATACTTTTACACTCATATCAATAAGATAGATTGTTTGGCAAATCAACAGACACCTTCAACACGAGTTAAATGGGCATTTCGCTTTTTTTGTAAAACATTTTCATAATCAGAAATGTCGCAAATATACCTGAAAATATTTCTACAGTGTGCTATAAACTGAATTTGTTTTAAAAACTGAGAGTACTTATTTTTAAATAAGCAGTTTGACCTAATTACGGTGATTGGCTTTATAATTGCGCGTTTTATTTTTTTCAAAATCTAAAAAACTTAGTAGAAATATTTCTCTACAATAAGGCGTTTATGTTACTCAAATCCGTACAGAAGTTTTTCTAACAGCTTGCAAAAAGCATTACGAACTTTAAAAGGTTATATAACCTTTTACGTAAAGTTTTGGCTGGATTTTTTTTTTAGTTAAAATATGTTATGGGATATATTGTTATAGATTTTGGTTTATAATTTTCACTAATTTAAACAAAAAAAATTTCGACCCACAAACAAAGCTTGATGTCTCTTTGAGGCATAGTAAATATATCAAAAGCAAAATAAGAGTTATCAATAACACATTTGTACTAAATGAGATAGTACTCTATAAAAATATTGCTACTAACCATTTCAAATATCTCCAAAATGGAATAGGTCATAAGCCATAATATATATATATTAGGTATATATAGACAATAAAAGTAAAAGCAAATCTAATGACCTACCAATTTCTTAAAAAAATCTTCTCATATTTTTTGTGACACATTCTTAATAAAAAAAAATGACCTCAATGCATCAGAATATCAAAATTTTAAAAGTAGTATCTTCAATATACAAAATTCAAATCTTCCTACTCAAAATTCTCACTAATATAACCAAACATACCTAGGTTTATCAAAATCATATGAAAAATATGAGCTGTCTTCCAAAAGGAAACACAAGAACAGATTTCATAGTAGCTTTGTCTTTTTGAAAAAGTACAAGGTGCATTTGAATTATCTAGTAATGATAATGAAGAAATTGTAAAAATAGATCAAAATTTATCAAAATTTGTCCAAATTCCCTATTTCCAATCACAAGCCACTGCTGATATATTTGAAAAGAATTGTGAAAATGAAATAAAATGGAGATCAATCTATAAACCTATTAAGTTTAGTGAAGATATGATTATAACTATAGTTTGATTTAATTTTGATATACTAAGAGATAGTGAATGACATAAAAATAAGACTATGTCAACACACAGTTGATAAAATAAGACACAAAGTTTCATGGGTTGAAAACCAACAGGACCAGTGGTATACCAACATACCACTTTTTATGAAAATCGATTGGAAACAAAAAGAGTTATGGCATTTTTTACTATTCTGGATCACAAGTTAACAAGATAGTTAAATATTCTCCAGTGTTGCAAAATGTTTGAGTCTAATTTAATTTTACATTTTTTTTGTTTAAGATCAGTGTTTACATACAGTGGTAGTGCCAGCCTCCTGAGAATGAGGGAACAAATCACGGCAGACTGACTCAATGGGAGGACCAACTGTCGAGGCTGAATTTAAAATGTGACAAATGTGTAGGTGGCTTAGTATCAAGCCTCTCTTGGAATGTCTTAGCGGGGGTGCCCCCAAGAAAATCAAGCAAAAATGAATTGATTTGGTGCATTCTGACACATAATTTTGTTCACATCGTATATAAATCATATTTTGAAATATGCAAAAACAAAATAGGGGGTGCAAACCTACATTGATGGAGCATAGTTATTTGCAGAACTCTGGCTTCAATGGGATTTCTTTCAATGCATAATATTTTATAAATTTTCTTTATAAAAACAACACATTTCATATCTTTTTACTTCTAAAATATATACATTATAACAATGTTCAAGATGATTTTTTCTGTATTTAGGGATTTGACTTCAACAATTTGACAACTTTGCTGTTCATAAAGGTTTATAATCTCATTTTAACTTCAATTCAGTTTTTCTCCTAACCAACTTATACCTGAAAAATAGATATTAAAAAGTGTTCATTCTGTATGTTGCATTCTAGGGACTTAATGGTGGTCACATGTTGATATGCAACTTAAAAATTAAGTTGAGAAGTACAGAATTTTGCATATTTTTCAACAATTTCCTATAAATCCCATACCTCATACATTGTACTGTATCTATCAAAAAAAAAAAAAAGATAATATGCTTCTCATTTTTTTTTCAATTTATTTTAAAAAAAATAATGTATCAAATGAAAAAATCTCTACCTGAAAACTCTTGAGATTATTCTTTCAAATGTTAACATCAGAGAAACTTTTTCTGTTATGTTGCTGACATGACAACAAGTAGAAGTGAACCCTGTAATGTCTGCTGTTACAATGAATATACAATACAGGTGTAGAGAGGTCTCTACCCTACAGTGATTTCAACTCACATCCAAAGCTGTGATTGTCTTCATTTTCTGAAAATCTTTTTTATCCCTGAACAAAATTCAACTTTAACATTCAAAACCCTGAACAAAATTCAACTTAAACATTCAAAACCATGAACAAAATTCAACTTTAATCAAGGATTTGAAAACAACACAGTACTTAAGTTAATGAACTCAGATACAGCTTTTAATCTTATAAACTTGAACATTAAAGTGTGTGTAAAATGTACTTTCCAAAATCTACAGAGCTCTACCCACGGGTGGTTTCATTTTACAAATTTGACCTGACAACTTATGTTACCTGATGAATTTAAAGACACATATATGTGACACTTATGATGTATTTAACATACACCTAATACATATTACTGTTTATCATTGTAATTTCCTTATGTCATAATGATGCTTCAATCAAGTACATACCAAGTTTAATTGTAAAATAAAAATAAACTTTTTCTACAAAAAATAAACCTACAAAGTATTATATGTCTCACCAGTAGTTATGTCATTGGTTTTGAATTATTCTGACATAGTAACAGCTCTGGTCAAGGGCATTAACTTTTTAAACTGTGGATTTGAAACTAAACTAAGGCTGGACACCATGCACTTCCTTTAAACCGAATAAAGGTTGTAGCTTCTATCATGGTAATAAGTCTGATATGATGATTTTACTTTAACAATCATTCAACAACCATTCAATCTCAACATTTTACATTTTGGTTGATTTAATCAAATCCACCAACAAGACATGTTGACTGACAGACAGTTTTGGTTGGTTGGTTTATTCAAACACACCAACAAGTGGAAGGGTAACAGACAGACAGGCTAGATTGGTTGGTTTATCTAATCAAACAAACAAGAAATATTAACAGACAGCTTCAGTTGGTTGGATTTAACAAACACACCAATAAGAAGTGTTGACAGACAGACACCCTGGAATGGTTGGTTTAACCAAATACAATAACAAATATGTTGACAGACAGTCTGAAATGGTTGGTTTAATCAAATACACCAACAAGGAATTTGCACACAAACATTCTGTATTGGTGGTTAGATCCAACACAAGAAGATTGGTTTAATCAAGTAAATGGACAGTGTTTGATAATCAATAACGTAAACTTACTATCAACATTCCAGAGTATTTTTAATATCTTCCAATCTATCATTTGTAACACAGCTGATATAATAACAGCTCCTAATGCAGCTTGTGGTACATAATAAAATAATGGTGTTAACACTTGTAGAGCTAATAATATCAATGCACCTGAAAAAAGATAATTTCCAGATTGGTTATTTTAAAATCGGACTATAATTTAAACTGGATTTCAATCCTGTACACTAGGATTGAACATTTCTCATCAAGAGCCAAAATCATCAAAATATCAACAATTGTAAGTAAAATTTGTACCTGTAACTATACCAGAAGCTGGAGAACGGACACCACTCTGTGAATTAACAGCAGTTCTACAAGTAAACAGAATCATGTTAGTTTTCAAGGTTCTGTCTACAAAATCATATAATTTCTCTTGTGTTTTTGTGTATTTCTTTAGATCAAGACCAGTTTACCTTGTGGCAGAGTGTGCAGGAGTTGTCAAGAAAAACATAGATGATTACCTTGAGAAACTACCAGTGACTGGATATGATGAAATAAAACAACTTATAATATTAGCTACACCAATAGCTATTAGCTCTTGAGTAGGATCTATCTTATAACTATTCTGTCGTGCTAAAAGAGCCAAAATATTACTCTTATATTCTACCACAATCATTGTTAAAATCGAAGCAAGCACAGATTTACTTGATACACTTTGAAATATTTATCATTATAGTCTAAAACCAGAGATAAGACTGAACGATAATATTTTCGTATCATAATTATTAATCATAATGAATGAAAAAGCCATAAATGATTTTACAACTTTCATGAAGTTAATACATCATTGTATATCATTGGCCATTGAGAGACAGTACTTGTTCTTCCCTCATGAATCAGTAAAAAGAACTCACCAAAAGCTTTTCCTATGGCAATAGTTTCAACTAATCCTAATAAAGGCACAATAAAAAATCCAGCACCAATTTTCTGCAATTTAAAGAAATTAAAAAAAAATATCACAGCAATTGTATAGCAATTAGTGATATATGGTTACAATATTAACATTTTCAGAGATTAAAAATAGAATAGGAACTTCTTTACAAGATTCCTATCAAAAACCTCCAATAAACATCCTTTGATGACAGAATATTTCCAATATATAAATGTTACATACACTAAAGATTTCTCCAGTACTTTGTGTAATATTTCTAGTATGTATTGAGAAAGCAGGTACTTGTAAGGGAGGTAATCCCTGTTTAAGATGTCCAGTAATAGTTATTTTATCTTTAATATTCATGCTAATCAAACTGGCTGCTATACCAGCTGCTGAGATCACTACCACTGCATTAGCACCTACAATAAATATAACAGCAAATAATTAAATCAAGATTCCATTAACACGTTATCACGCAATTTGATTTGATAACAGTAATCACGTGCATACGGTTTATATCTGTGTAAACAGAATGTAAAATTAGGCTCCGCCCCTTAACAAACTACTTTTATCATTGAGTTTGATTGACGTGTCCACTACACCGTGTAGTCTACATGGCATCGATGTTGTTCCTTCAAACAGAGACGAAATTGTCACATCACTGAATGATAACAGTATTTTCCAAATTCCCTCGAATGTGCACACTCCAAATATCAACAAAATCATGATTTCTGGACTTATTTCGAACTTGTCTTTTAATATTTACACTTTCAACATGGCCGCTCCATCAACTTTCACGCAGTAGACAGTAGACTATAGATAGGGTGACCTACTTATTGGCTGTATAATTGGTATTTATGCGCCAATTGAGTGCCTTAAGATGTTGTTATATGAAATAAATATTTAAACATGAATTCGAGTTGATTCAATTATAAGGAATGCCCTGAACATTTTTTCAGTTTATCGATGTATAAACAGTAAAAACCTGTATACTCTTATGTATAAACCGCTATTAATCCTTTATTAAAGTTATGATCAAAATATCAATTGAAAGAAACTTGTCTTGAATTCATTTAGTGCTAATGAGACCAGCTATCTTTAAATGAATAAGTATGAAATATGTGACAAAGTAAATGAAAGTCTTACCCGTTCCAAACAACCATAGAAATTTTCGAGCAACTTTTTGACTAGTTGATTTTGGCTCATCCTCATCTTGCCATTTTATTGACCTCAATTTCTAAAGAAAAATTTTCTACAGATTAAATTAATTCAGTTTTAAAAATAAAGACAATCTCTAATCTTTATTCTTGCAATCTTAACCACATAAAACAACATAAAACAATTGGTTTATATTTCAAAATTTTTATTTTATTCTGGGTAAATTGTCAATAACAAAAAATTATTTACCTTTATTAAATACAGGGCCACCAAACTGGCAAATCCTAATACCATATCCCATACTCTAAAATAAGGTAATAAGGGACTGGTAAACAATGATAAGAATTTTGAAACATTCATATTAAGCATCCTAGAACAGTATTTTAGGTGATATATAAGCTTGTATCCAATAAACATGGATATGTAAATGTTCTGAAATAGATGTAGAGATGACACCACCACATGTAGAAAGGTGATGATTAAAGCTATGGATACTACATTTCTAGTTATTGATGAACTACAGTCAATTTATCATGTCACATTTAATTACAGTAAGAACTTTAAAAATTTAAATATAAGATCTCTAACCTATTCACTTATTTTTGTATGGAACTATGAAATACTGTGATTAGTTGAAAATTGTTGACAATTGTTGACAATTGATTAAAACTAAATCATTTATGCAATATCAAAGACAATAATTACCTACTTTGTTTGTCCTAGATTTGCAAATGTATCATAAACCATTGGTAAGAAATCTCTAGGAATATTTTTTAAACCAAAGATATGTTTAACTTGTCCAAACGCTATAGTTATAGCAGCAGCTGAGGTAAAGGCATTGATAACAGGGTAGGATATAAAGTTTACTAATATACCTGAAGCCAGAAAAAGAGAGTTAGAAATCCAAATAAACACAACTATTGTTATTAGCTATATTTCAGCCACAGTTACAGAACTTACATCAAAATTTCGTTAGAGTGTCAAAATTTTGGAAATTACAATTTGGTATCTGTGTTGTTTTTGGCGCACAAAGAAAACTGACATGTAGTTATCCAAACAAAATACATAAGTGAAAGTCCACAAACCATCTTGGAACAGAATTGAAATAAATGACATAGCCAGGTGTCTGTGGAAAGAGTAAGCACTTTCTGCCACATGCACTGCAATTGTCATGATGGCATAAAATGGCACAAAATGGGTAGGAATCCTCAGAAACCCTTAGCTTACCTAGATTTAATAAACCCATAACTAACTGAACAACACCACACATTAAAGTTAATATAATAGCATATGTAGCATCATTAGGTATAGGAGATATAGCAAATGTTCCTGTCATTAAAGACATGATAGCTGTTGGACCTAGTGTTATATCTTTACTGGTTCCCAGAAAACAATACACAAAACATCCCATAAATGAAGAATATAGTCCATACTGAAACAGACAAATATCGTGGGTGACAGCTTGAAACCTCGTATAACGATATCTGACGCAGAATTACTTTTCGAGAAAAACGCAAAAAACTATTTGTCCGCGTATTTTGTAAAAAACCTTTTTTATAATTTTTGTTACCGCTATACGTGGTTTTCATTCTTGGAAAATATAAACCTCGTATAACAATTCGAGATCTCCAGCCTATTGAACCAAAAACTCGTATAATAATACAGTATACGAGGTTTTTCATTTTCATCCGCAGAAAATGAACATTGAACCCTGTATAATAATATATTTTACGAGGCTTTAAATCTGACTATTCATATACGTGTTATTTGATTAGCGCTTTTTGAGTTATTTACAATCAAGCTAAGAATACAAGGATTTGATCACAAGATCCTCGCTTTTACGAGCTTTCGAACGGTACCAAAAAGTCAAAATAACCAAATATGGCATATACGAGGTTTCAAGCGGTCACCCACGATATCTCATTTTAATAACAATCAGTTAAAATCAATTATATTACATCTTAAAGGGATTTACACTAAGTTTTAGGGCCTTTGAAGGCATCAGGGAAATTTTGATTTCTTGGATTGATCATAATTTGCTTGCAAACAAATATCACTTTGCTGTGATATCACTGTGATAGTGACATTATAATTTGGATTGGTAGAAATAAATGCCATACTACATACAAATATTAGTATCCCTTGAATTTCTGGTCAATTTATGAGAATCAAAAGCAGACAAAAATAATGCTAAGTACTTGTTAAGAAATACAAGAACATACCTGTGGAGGAAGACCAGCTATTTTAGCATAAGCTAATCCTTGTGGTATCACTGTTAAACCCACAGTCAAACCAGATATAACATCACATTGTAGATCACTTAAACTGAAAGTTAAAAAAACACATGGCAAAAATGAGAATAATAAATTTCACATCTGACTTTTATTCTTTGATCATCTAAAATTTGTTAAACCTTTAATTTCTTAATTCCAAAATGAGAAAGTAAATCTAAAATATTCAGATGACTGTAGCATATCCCTTATAGTCAATTACTTACCTATACTTAGGTAACCATTTTGAAATAGGAAATTTCTTTTTTAATGTTTCCTTAGTACAAATATTTTTATAAAACTGTTTTAATTGCTGATTAATACGTATAGACCCCATTTCATTAGGTTCATACTGTACTTGCAATCCATTATTAGAACTCATGTTCAGGTACCTGTACTTTACATGATGATATAGCTGAAAGAAAAACAGTTGCTTGTATTCTATACACAGCATCCTATTTATACCAAGCTGTTGTATGTTAGATTCTTGAATAAATCAATTAATAACAATATTCTAGCTACTAGATGTCTAATATATAAATAATAGTCACAAGGAAAAAAAAATATGCAGCCTATCCATCTAATCCTTATTCATAACACAAGTTCACAAAATTGATTAGGTGCCTAATCATGCAACTCAGGAGTCTAATACAATTTTAGAACATTCAAGACAGTAAAAGGGAATAAAATAATTGTTTGCTCAAAGAGTAGGCCTTTCTGTCCATTTCACTATGCCTTCAGCTTCCAATAGAAGATTAGCCTAATGGTAATTTTATACTAATGGGACAAAATTTTCATTATCAAAGACATTGTAAATTATAGACTACGCGTACATGAAAATGTTTGTAATGAACTAGATTATAGATTATATCAGAAAGGTTAAAACAAAAACCTTAAAATTTATAGCATTAAAAGTATTAACAAATTATTCCATTAGCGCTGTTGTCTTAGAGCTTCTCTCTAGAGGCTACATTGAGTTCTAAATTGAAATTTTTCTCTCATGTCACAAATATTGAAAATATGATTTTCAAGTGCATACCAATTGTCTTAGAATGCCTTTGGGTCCATGAACATATAAGTTTTGAAAATGTTGCACTTGAAATGAATACACTTTTCTCTAAGAAATTTCATGTGAAAATGACACATTTTGAACTGAAAATCTCCCTCTTTAAAATCATAATTTCAAATAATTTGTTTTCAATGGTTGGCATTTTCACCAACCCAAAGACAATCTAAGACTCTCAGCAATATTTGGGGATTAATATTTCAATCCATACAAAAATGATAGCCAAAATGTGATTTAGAACTTAATGTGGCCAGGGATTAGAGGGGAGGGTTTATCTTTATGTTCTCGTGGTAAGCACTGAACATTTGATTTGGCTAATGATGAGTGGCCTTGGATTGAGGAATACTGCTGATTGAGGTTTTAACTAGATGCACCTTTAAATTGTATTCCATGACACTGCAAGAATAATTATTAAATTTATGAAGCTGAAATTAATTAAATACTTTATACTTACTTGAATTGGGAGTTCACTTCAGATATAATATGATAAGTTATTGATTGATATAACTGATATCATCAATTTGTGTTTGACATTTGGCCTTAACTATGCAATTACTTTGAAGATAAAACAAACTCTTACTGTGTTGAAGGCCGAGTGTAAAAATCACATGACTAGGTTACTCAAACTTGTTTCTTTTATTGAAGAGTTCTATTAATCATATGACGTTTATTATAATTTTTCAGTTTGGTGATTATATTGTCTGCTACAAAACTGTTTTGGGGCTTATTATATAAATTTTCATTGCAAAAGTGTGTGCATTTTGGTTACCTGTCCGCCAATCAAGTACCATAGCGTAAAGATGGGTGATAAAGAAGTAAACAGAAATGGGAGCCCGGTTTTAGTCTCCAAAAATGATCAATATATAACCCTTGACCTATTTAGATAGGATTGATTTAGGTCAAACGAAATTAATATCATAAGGAAACTAGATGCTATTGCCCTAATTTGATGATTTAACTTGATAATTACAAACTTTTAAAATGATACTTTTATACATACCTACTTAAAAGGGCATTTTTTGTAAAACATTTTCATTATCAAACGTAAATTAAGGCCGAGGATATTCGCCACCCGGGTGTAAATTATACCTGAAACTATTTCTAAAGTATGCCATTTATATCTATGTATCTACTTGATCAAACTAAATTTGTTTTAAAAGGGTTAATTAAAAACTTAGAGTACTAATTGTTAATTAAGTAGTTTGACCTAGATTGGCTTTATATTGGCTTGTTATATTTAGTTGAAATCTTAAGAAAATGTAGGAGACATATTTCTCTAATATTATTAATAGTTCTCTATAAATCTGATATACTATATTGTGGTACAAATTGACTTATAAAATATGAAAAAAGTGTACAAAAGACTTTAACTAGACAGTACAATGTTTCTCCATAATGTTGGAATTATTTTTTTCGTGTTGAACTACGTTACAGTACATTGTAAACCAAAAAATGTTTTGGTTCTTCTTGGTAAGTGAACAAAAGAAACCGTAGGACCTTATTCATGCCTCATTTTTAAGACACTATAAGCGAGGTTCATAATTACGACTTCCGTTGATAAGATGGCAATATCATTTGAATGAATAGCCTATGCGGAGTCACTAAACACTGATGAACAGCGAGAAAAGGGGCTTATTATAGCCCTTTATCAGAAATGTGTAAAATTCATCTGAAAGTATTATGAAATAGCTTAATCAATTCCATATTTGATGATGTAAAATATGATTAGTTTTGAGTTAGTTGGATTGGAGAAAGAGGCTTTGAAGATGTCAAGTTGGCTATTTTACTGCAGTGACATGCTGTTGCCTTTGTTTGCGTTATGAGCCTTGTTCTAGATCCAATATGACGGACGTATAAGGTCTATACGCTGCAATACTAATCTTTAATTGGATTGTAAGAGTCACCCTTCATTTGTTGAATAGTAATTATCTAATTGATCTCTATCATTAATTACTGTTTTAGGTGATGATGTAGGATTTGAAAGTCAAATTTATGATAATAAAATCTGCAAAACACCCAATTTGAATAAATTGGCATCTAGAAGTGTGGTGTTTAATCAAGCCTATACATCAGTTAGTAGTTGTTCTCCTAGCAGGTAATCTAACTTTAACTACAATATTTTTAAGGTCTAGAGGCCAACTAACCTTTATAATAGAATTTGTAAATACCTTTCTTCAAAGGGGCAGCCGGCATTTCCTGGTACCAAGAAGTATCAGGTACCAGATACTTATTGTAGCTCTGTAAATAGAATTAAATTTGTGTTCATAAACACTTGAAGTGATATCTGTATATTTACCAGTTTATTTATACAAAAACACTAAATACAACAGTGTAAGGTTGCGTTTTATCTTAGTTGCATTTCGATATTTATCATGTTACTGTGATTTTTATTTTTAAATCTAATGATATAATCAAATAACAGTATGACATTTGCTATATATTAAAGCTTATATATATATTAAAAATATAATTTGTTTTCTCTCATTATTAATTTTACAGTGTAGTAGATCAGAAAAACTGAATAATTGATTTGAGTCATGATTTATATAACACAATAGGGTGATGGATTAAATTGCATGAAATAATGAAAATATCTCCACACTGTAAAGATGATTTTGGTATACATCATGTAAATTAATAATTCATTGCATTAACATGTTGATATCTTCATTTTTTAGTTGATTCATTATGTTTATGATATAAATGTTGTAGGTCAGCCATCTTGACTGGTTTACCTCAACATCAGAATGGAATGTACGGTCTGCATCATAGTGTTCATCATTTTAATAGTTTTGATGATGTTCGTAGTTTACCTTATTTACTTCAAAAAGCTGGTATTAGAACAGGTATGCTGAATACCCAGAATGATTATTACCCTAAAAATATCACATGCAATGAAACTTGAATTCAATGTGTGGATTATTGAAGGAATTGTAAAAAGGTTTTTAAAATTTTGTATGTTGCCGATCTCCCTAACACTGATAATATTAATTCTGATTTTCAATCAGATGTCTGTGGTTACTGTAAGTCCACTGAAACTAAGTATTTGATGACTTCACTAGTCGCATTCACATAAGGCCCTTTGCGATTAGTGACATCATCAAACACATTGCAGAAACCACAGACATATGATTGAATATTGGAATGGTGCGAATTTAAGCTATCAGTGTCCCCCGATACACATGAAAAATTTAGAAAACCTCTTGACTATCTCTTTAAGAATGATTCAATCTGATTGAAATTCATTAGATCTAGGTATTGAATGTTTTTTGTGGTTTTATCATTCAACTTTAAAGGGACAGTCCCCTTTTTTGTAAAATGTTTTCACTATCAAAAATGTCGTAAAGTATATACCTGAAATATTTATATCTATGTATATTCTTGATTAAACTGAATTTGTTTTAAAAGGGCTAATTAAAAACGGAGAGACCTAGTTTTGGTGTTTGGCGTTATAATGGCTCGATATTATCACTTGAAACCTTGAAATAAGTCTATAATTAGGCGTTTATTTTACTCAAATCCTTACAGTAGTTTTCTAACAGCTTCCTGGATATTTTCTGTTAAAACTTTCAGATAGGTTACAGGGCACATTTCTCTAGATTTTTTGCATAGTTTTTACAAATTTAAGTTTTCGACTTACAAAAAAGGGACTGTCCATTTAAAATGAAGATGTTTGTAATAAAAGCATTTGAATATATTATTATGTAACTTTTTGGTACAATTAGTGAAAAAAAATCAGTAAATTTTAGCCAGTGATATTGATGCCAAAAAAAGTTTTGAATTTTATTCAATAATCAACCTTTGATATTTTATTATTTCTAGGTATTATTGGTAAGAAACATGTTGGACCAGAATATGTTTACCCTTTTGAGTTTTCACAAACAGAAGAAAACCACAGCATCTTACAGATTGGTAGAAATATAACTTATATGAGACATTATCTTCATAAATTTCTTCACAATAATGATTCCAGGTAAGGTTATTACATAGATTTTTTGTAGTTATTGCATTCCATTTTAGGTTTGACTGTACTATCTTGCTTGCTCAAAGGTGTTTTAGTCAGATTCGTGTAATCAGTTAGCCTTATCAATTCAGATTCTGTATTTGTTGTCATTTATAACCTAATAGTCAATATTAAGAGCCTAGAACAATGCTGTGTGAAATAGTCACAAGGAGAATGTTAGTCTGCTAGATTGAGCATCTAAAATCATTTTCACTTTGTTAATGCAACATAAAAAATTTTCACTGTTTTTTATGAACTCTTAAATTTATATTTCTAGGCCTTTCTTAATGTATATTGGATTCCATGATCCACATCGTTGTGGTCATGTACATCCTGAATTTGGATCATTTTGTGAGAAGTTTGGTAATGGTGAACCTGGTATGGGTGTAATACCAGATTGGAAGCCAGTATCATATAATACTGATGATATACTGGTACCATATTTTATACAGAATACTGAAATAGCTAAACAAGATATTGCTGCTCAATACACTACTATTAGTCGTTTAGATCAAGGTATAACTTAACTTGTTTGGTTTTTGATTGAATTACAGGTCCTCAGATAGATGGCAAATTTTTCTTTTTTTAAATCAGGAACAGAACGTTGCAATAAATAATTTTTGTTCAGAATATTAATAATATTTTATATACTGTAATAGGAATAGGATTAATGATAAAAGAATTAGAATTAGCTGGTGTATTAGATGATACATTGATTATATATTCCTCTGATAATGGTATTCCCTTTCCTAATGGTCGAACTAATTTATATGATGCTGGTATGGCCGAACCTATGTTAATATCTTCACCATCTGATACACATAGATGGGGACAGGTAATCATTTGATATTATTTTATTGCGAACTTGACGATTTGGAACACTATCTTTCCCATGTTGTCCAAAGCTATTCTTTCGCCACATAGTGAAAACAGAAGTATCATTATCATAATTGCCTATGAAATGTTTTCAATTAATTCCAGAAAAGTGAAGCTATGGTGAATTTAGTTGATATTGTTCCAACAGTTTTAGAATGGTTTGGACTGGATTATCCAACATATAAACTTAATAAACAGATAGTTAAACTGACAGGAAAATCTTTACTACCAATATTACATGAAGAACCTACTAGTGGGTGGAATAGTGTGTATGCCAGCCATGATTTACATGAAGTAACTATGTATTATCCTATGAGAGTGTTACGTAAAAGACAATATAAACTCATACATAATATTAACTATAAGATGCCTTTTCCAATAGATCAAGATTTCTATTTATCTCCTACATTCCAAGATTTATTAAATAGAACTAGACATAAAAAGAATCTCAACTGGACTAAAAGTTTAAAATCCTATTACTACAGACCACAATGGGAACTGTATAACATTATAAATGATCCTCAAGAATTGAAGAATCTAGCCTATAACAAACAATTTATTGATGTATTGAGAAGTTTAAAGGTAGAACTTAATCAGTGGCAGAATATTACTAATGATCCATGGATATGTGCCCCAGGTGGTGTTCTAGAAGCTTCAGGAACCTATAAATACACTCCATCATGTCTTCCTCTAGACAATGATACAGAGGAACAATATGATGAATCTGAATATACTATCAGTGTGGTGTGATACAATCAAAATTAAATTACATGTTTCTAGAAATATTGTTAAATATATCTTTAAAACCTATTAACCTAATGAGAGCATAACATGCTATCAAACATTTCTTATGTTTTTGTTATTAAGTGGGGAAAGCATAAAGGCACATATTTTGATGTAAGTGTAAATTTTTCATATATTTAAAGGGGCTGCAGATTTAAAGCACAAGATTAGATTTCAAAATGAAAAAATAGTTTAATAATTGAATTACTATAAAATTATTGTATTAGATATAATGATCATAAAATGAGAATGAAACATGGTGAGTATGAAACATATAAATAACATAAATAAACTATATATCACAGATACAAACTTATATAATACAAGCACAATGTCTTTAGATTCTTTTAACTCTTGCTTATATCTGTACAAAAAAAAACAGAAGCACAATATAACAAATCACAATGTTAATAAATAACCAAGGCAACCTAATAGTTACACATATCCTGCATGCAAAATAGTCTTTACTGTTTCTGACTAAGAAATTTTGTTCTTCATAAAGAACCTTGTCTATAGTCTTTACACTATTATAATATTCATAAAAATAACACTTTGGCGCTTTCAAATAATTTTTTGAAATAGCATTATGTATTGGTTTTTGGGCAACCGATATGATGGAAAATTATCTCAAACAAGCACCAATATATAATGTTTATAAAAGATAAACACAAATTACCTACAGACATTTATCTAAAATTTTGGTAAAACAGGGAACATAATGAGATTAAAAATTAATGACTATTGTAATAATATAAGATATGGGGATGGAATCATGTGATAATCTGAAATAAACTGAAACATTGCGCGAGGCATAGTTGTAATGAGAATAGGTACATGTCAGTCTATATATCTGTAAGATACATATAGTGATAATAGAACTGTAATTATTAAGAGCATTGATTTATATAATGTCTTCATTTAGTAGATATACAGCTGATGGCCCAAAAGTGTATTTTTAGCAAGATAGTGGTCCAACTTAAATCACAAATGACAATTAATAATGCTTAACTTTTCACTTCTTCTACATGTTGTTGCTGCTTACATCAGTTTTCCTCCATAGAGAAGTTTATTTATTAGGAGAACTAAATGGTGTTTTAGAAACATAGTTCATAATGGCTGACTGTAATAAATGAGCTCTTTGTGCCTCCTCTTCTCTAGCTCTAGTCATTTCTAAATCTCGAGATCTTAACTTTTCACTAATAATTACTAGTTCTCTATCTTTCTCTTCTATCATTGTTCTATATTTCAATAATTGTTCTACAATGATAAACACAAACATTACTTAGAGGTTGACAGTAATTTACTTATAAAACATTACTAAGAAGTTGACAGTAATTTACTTAGCACAAAAATTACTTTGAAGTTGACAGTAATTTATTTAACTAAGTATGCATGTTATTAAACTGCATTAAGAAGCTGTAATAATGTTCTTTGTCCTTCTCTATGAAGGCAGGTTACGATGCTCTGAAAGAAGCCTATATATATGGCCTGTTTCAAGCCTTGAGTCATATGCTTGCCTATAACATTACAAACATTAATTGAAAAAAAAAAATCTGTGCCTGATAATTGTTGGTCAGCTTGACTTAATTTCTCTCTTAATTCATACTGTATTTTACTTTCACTGTCTAATTTCATCTCCATTTCTTTCCGTTCTATTTTAACTTTATTAACCTCTGACATTGTGATACTTCTCTTCTCAGCTAAATCCTAAATTAAAATTAAACACAAACAGTCAGACATAAAACTTACTAGGGTTTTACCTCACTTTTCAGAAGAGAAATTTATTACTGCTGTGTCCATTTAGAAAATAAATAAATATAAATGTTTTAATATTAATTAATTAAGTACAAAATTTGAACAAATTCACTCTTTCCTATAATATCTAGACTTATGTACAATTTCAGATATTCAAACTTGTCATGTGTTCCTAATCTTAGAAAAAGTTAAAAATAAAGAAAACCTCATTAAGAAAAATCATTTTCAAGAGCAATACTTATATGGTTTAGCAAAATTTCTGTATGAAGTTCACATCTAAAACCTACCTGAGACATTTCCTCTAATTGACGTTTATATGTCTCATGTTCTAACAAGAGATTACTGTTTTTACGTTGTAAATCAGATACAAGGCTAGCTTGTTGTGTACAGTGTGATTGTAATTCATCTTTACTAATCTGTAATACTCTAATCTTCTCTTCTAACTGCATCTGTCTTTGTTCCTGTTAACAATAAGTTTCAAATCAGTCATCAGGAAAAAGTGATTCACCATTAATATCAGTCTATAAATAAAATATTAGACTAAATATATAAATTTTAGCATATTAAAAACCTTTGAATTTAAAGATTTAAAGATCATTTTGTTGTAAGACATGTAACAATTTAGAACACATTAAATTTAAACTCAATATATTTCTTATAAAAGAGCTGAAAAATTACCTCTTCAGCTTTTATTCTTTGTTTAGCAGACACAATTTGTTCTTCTGCTGACATTTTATCACTCATATTGGCTGTTTTTAATCGACTAATCTCTTCCTCTAGTTCTAATCTATGTGATTCCATTTTCTGTATTCTGTCTCTTAATGTCTTCTCTGTATCATCAGCTTCTTGTTTCATTCTAGCAATCTGCAATATTATTATTATACTTTCATGGATAAATTATTTCAAATAAACCTTATGAACATGTAAGTACATTTGAAGAAAACTTTCAAGCCTATACACTAGTAAGTAACTAAAGTTCATTAACCTAAAAGCAATCAGGTATATTAAAAGAAAAACTGTAAATGAAAGAGCTTTCTAATTTTTCTCAAGATTATGTCATTAATAAATATATACCTCTTTTTGTTTATACTGGTCTAGGTCATGTAAAGCATCTTTCTGTCTAGCCTTCTCTTGCTGGATTCTCTCTGTAAATCATTGAAAATCACTGTATACACAATATAACATACACATAAAGGGAGAAATCTACTTTCTGCTGTTTTGACATAATTACAATTCAAATATGTTTCTCAAATGGATAAATTGCCCTCGACTAAACCTTTTTATAATCCAAACCAACACATACCATCATAATGTGAGCCTTTCATAGTTAATTCAGCTTGTAGATGTGTTATCTGTTCTTTATTTTCATATAACTGTTCTTGATTCTGTTTTAATTTTCTCTCTAAATCTTCTACCTAGATACAAAACATTCAGGAATAAAAGTAATCACAAGATAAACCAATTCAAATAACACTAATATTCAAGGAGTCATTTCAGTAACAGTAGGAAATACAGGTATATTAATTTAGACAATTAGATGGGAATTTTTTGCAAAAAATATGTCAATAAATGGCACTTTATGAAGACAGTAAAAGTCCATTCCAAGAATTACCTTAGTTTGTACTTGTATGTTTCTATCTGTAGCTTCTGATAATTCTTTTAATAATTTCATTTCTTCTATAGCTCTATCCTACAATAATAATTACAAATATATTCAAAGTTTGGTGATTCTCACCTGAGTTCAAGCCTTAATTTTTGGGCACATGAGTGATGTTTGTTGCTGATTAGAGGAAAATCTCACAGGTGCACATACCACAACAAAAGATTCACTCTTAATTCAACAACTTAAATGATTATATTAAACATACATACTAACAAACTGATCAACTGACACTAGGACTCATATTATCATGAATCATAGACCTCAAAACAGATGTAACCTGGATTTGAGTAAAAGAGTATATTACCTCCTTCTCATGTCTAAGATCAGCATGATGTGAAGCTGTCATCTCAGACATATCTTGTTTTAATCTATTTATAACTGACTGACCATCGTGATTCTTCTGTTCAGCAAGGGTTAACTCTGATTCTGTCATGGCTAGTCTACAATTGATGATATATTTGAATAAAATCACTTAAAAATATGACACTAACATAAATACAAGGGGATGATCTGATGTTCAAAATAAAATTATTTCAAATAAAACAAAATATATTTATCATAAAAACTTATTTATTCATAATTACATTGGTCCATTGAAGATTGACAGATTCAAGATGGACACTGGTTTGCAAATGAGAAACAGACGAATGAACACAACAGAATAGTTTTTAAACTTACTTAGCAGCTAATGCATTAAAGGTTTTCTTTCTATCTTCTAATGTATTCTGTAGATTACTCACTTGGTTTGATGCAGTCCTGAAATATATAATTCATTCCACAGGATTAAAATATTATTAGTAGGTATGTGAGGAAAGGATGAATGATAGATTTAGCAAGTAATTTACAGTTTTATACGAAAAGGAATGATTCAAATTTCAAATAGAATTTTGGAATGTCAATAATTGAATAAAATAAATATAATACCTCTGAGAACTTTTCAACAGATTTTCTTGTTTATCAATGGTGTTCATTAACTCATTTAACTGGAAAGAAAGTATACGTATACTGAGACATGAGTTCAAAAAGATGTTTTGAAGTCGAAGGTCAATTTATAAAACTTTGCAACTGGTATAAATAGCTCTAAACTATCCAAGCTAACAAGGTCTAGACTGTCACAGTAAATTGAAGCAGGCAAATCACTAAATATAGTTTTCTCACCTGTAATGTTTTATCTGTATTTAATTGATGAACATGTTTGGATAATGTCTTAGTTCTCTTGTCATAATCATCTGTTATCATCTGTCTATCTGCATTGTTGGATATTGATGTTTCTACAAAACATTATTCATACATTTTTTTATTTAATTGTCTATATATTTTTTAATATTGTGACACTCCTTCCTTATGATTAAAACTATTTAGTCATGTGTGAAGACCAATTTTGAGGCAATATTTAGAGCAGAAGCAAGGTATTTGTCAATCAAAATAATTGTATTAATCAGATGTAAAATAGTTACACTTCAGAAAATTTGGCATATATCTGCTTTATTCTGGAAATCCCTAAATTTTGATCTTGTTTTCCATCTCCGGTAGACATATGGTAGCAATAGTATACTAACCTATAGCTTTAAGTATATCTGTAGGTATATTATTACCAGCTAACTCTAATCTTGAAATTATTTTATTGGTATGTAACATTTCTACTAGAGCTCTTCCACCTAATAAACCTATATTATTCCACCTTAAATCTGAAAAAAATTTTAGTCAATACCCATTGTATCAATATTTTCTACTCAGTCAATACCCATTGTATCAATCCGATGCAGAACTTCTTTGGACCTAGTGTATCTAATACACAAATACACTTATCAAAATGATCCAATAAGTAAGGTCCTGTTGAAATTTCTGAAATTAAAGGTGAGGTGAGTGGTAAAACTTACCTAAAGCTTTTAATGTTGTGTTGCGTTTTAATGCAGAAGCTAATTCACTAGCACCATCATGGTTTATCTGATTATTACGTAGATCTAGAGCCTTGACACTGGTATTACAACCAATACCATCACAAAATACAGCAAATGAATTATCTAACATACCTAATGCATTCCATTCTAAACATACACTGTAATAGAATTATAATGATCATTATTTCTCTACATTCTACATAACTATATCATTAGGAAATGTCTACCAAATCTTGATAATAGCATTCTCTACTTAACTGAGAGCCTTATCTCACTCAATGAAAGCACCTGTTTTCTAAGACACATGCTTCTGAAAGCCGTCTGTTAAGAACTTCTGTTTTCAAGTCTAAAATGGTTTAACGAAGCCTTGTTTAAGAACAAATAAGCTCTGATGTATTCTTAATTAATTAATAACCATATAAAAGTAGGTAATATTTTCTTAGTCAATATTCAAGCAGTGATTAGAAGTTGTAAATGGTTCTAAGAAGAAATCTAACCTGTATAAGTGACTATTATGTCTCAACATTTTACCTAAAGTTTCAACTGAAGTACCTCTTATATTGTTGCCCTGTCAAAATAAAAATATATAAAAATCACATTAGAATTGTTGAAAAAAAAACCATTCATAATCAATTATGCATAATGTGCATTTTTTCCAAATCTTTCTATATAAATTCAGATCTGATGACATCCTAATATAATATGTATAATAGTAAGTTTCATAATGTGATGTGGACTTCAAGATTAATTGATATGATATATAACATCAACAAGTACTTCTGTAGATTATTCAACTGATTATCATTATAACTCACCTTCAAATCTAATTTTCTACAACAAGTATTCTGTGACAAACCCTGAGTTAGGCCTTTAATGGCTGAAACAAATGAATGCATCTAGATGGTTGAAAATGTATGCATGATTGTCTAGAATTTGAGAGAATTCATTACCAGGAACCGGTAATGTAATGTAGTAAAGATCACTGTGAGGAGGTGGAAGGGATAATTGAGAATCTAGGTTGTTATATTTGTTTAGAACATTCATTTATTTCTTTCCCAAAGTTTGATTTACATATTATATGTTGTATATTCACCTCTACATATTAACAAAATAACACTTACCATCCTCGCTGAGCATACAATCAGCAAATTTATACTCTAAAAAATGTCTATCTGTAGCTATGATTTTACCAAGAATTGAACAAGTTTTGGGTGACAAACCCATGGTGGAGAGATCTAATATAGTTCTTCCTTTTAATGTTGACTTCTCTGCACTGTAAGAGATAACGTTATCTCTAAATACTGATAAATCATCCTTCTGTTACAAGAATATGAACTTGCAGTAGCAGTTGTAGTAGTATAAGCTTAACTAAGGTTCTGATGGCATTGTATTGAACAAAAAATATGGACAAATTATATCTTTTTTTTTAACAGATAAATCTGAACAATTAAAGGACATGCTTTAAATTACTGAGCCCACAGCTCCAAAAAATCAAAAGGATTTGCAAAGCATTGGATTATTCACCAACCAATAGAAAGCATGAAGAAGATTAGTTTTATATGCATAAGCTTATTGAGTTCAATATGGTATATGATTTTAACTTACCATTTTAATTTTTCCACAACACAGTCTTGCACTTCTAAATGATGATCTTTACAAAGATGGATATAGGTTTGCCTAAACTCCTCCATTTTTACCATTATACAGTATCATTAAAATCCTTGAAAAGAAAACACAACTCCCAGTTTGTCAACAACTAACAATGTATCAGACAAGCGACTTAGAGAGACCACCTCCCATTTTCAATTTCCACGATGTCTGGCGATTTCATTCCATTAATCAAGCATTATTTACAGGTAAGAAGGATTCAGTTCAAATTTTCATCAGATTTGATTTTTCTTGACCTATTCAAGAAAATTGAAAAGAAAAGATCTAGTAATTTTAAGTTTCATGCTTTACCTATGGCTATCCTCTAACTAAGCTTAAATCAAATAGCCATTTTATATTATAATTATACAATGCTGAAAATAGATTCCAACAAAACTAATCACTGAGTTATTTTCTCTGACAGTCTGTTCATTAATCACCTTACTTCCTACACTCTGCATAATAGATGAAATGATCTAATCATTTTCTTTTCGTTCGATGAAATTAGTTTGAACGAATGTGTCAAGACATGTTCAGAAGTACCGGCAAAGTAATAATGAGCTTATAACTACTTTTATAAATGAACATACCAAAGTATTCACGTTATTCTTCTTTATATTTTTTTAAAGAATGTTACCCTGACAAAATTCTTAACTTGTCGTATGAAACAAGTATCAAAATATAGACTATAGTGTGCTAAAAATGAAAATCTTGACAGATGGAAGCCATTATTGTTTTGAGACACGATCAACCAGCTTCAGGTCATCTTAGTCACTTCCGGTTAACGTTGAATGACAGTTCGTAACAAGATGGGGCGTTTCGAGACAGATGTTGACTGGTGCTAAAAATTGGTGGGCAATACGATTATCATGAAGATGGCACATAAAACTTGCTGTTTCTACCAAAAGTTTTGCAGCTCAAATGAATTTAATGATGTTTGCGGCTAAAATTTCAGTTCAGTACTAGGTTACAGAGTATTTAATAGACCGAAAACCTCTTTCTGTCCGTATACGTAGTTACCGTGTGACGTGCGACTGTCATATAATGTCATATCGTATATTCCAATCTGATCATTCTGCCAGCCTTGCGAGAGGCCGCTAGACGCCCTTTAATGAATAATCAGGTAGGTGCGCACTGACTGCACATTCCGATATTAATTTTTTGACGCCGTTAAAATTCCTATGGCAATGCACTTCATGAATTAGAGCCTATTGACCTCATACCAATGTGGTATTTATTCAAAGATATAATAGAGGCTAGCTGCAAGCTACACTATCTTAAAGGCTGTCTAATTGCGCTTTTTTAGGGGCACGATAATTTATGACACTTATTGTCTCTGTTATGATATTTATATAGGTGTATAATATGATAAAACCACTATGTTTCATATAGCGCGATATTTCAACTCAGTTTCTGCCCTACATATATTCTGAAAGTTGGTCAGATGGAGAAAAACTAACCAATGATATACTCGCGGTAACATTCCTCAGCAATATCAAGCCATATGTCATTCCAATTGTTCGACTAACTATGTATAATAGGTATATTTAATATGAAGTTAATTTATCCAGTACATTAAAGTCAGGGGAGTATAATAGTATAAACGTGTTAATTAGATATTTCAAAGATGTCAGGTTGTATCACTCTGCCTATTTTTACCGTAGATGCCTTTGCTGGTGCATCCTTTGAGGGAAATCCCGCAGCTGTTTGTCCTCTGGATTTTGATGCTGTAAGTAAAGTTCTTTCCCGTTTGTGTGGCTATTTTTGAACTTCTTAAACCTGCACCCTATGTAGCTACGTTCTCCTCTATACTCTATTTGTATGACGCACTTGTGATATACTCTATAAAGATCAACCTGGTTATGTACACCAACATATGTATTATATGTATTGATTATATACCATGCGAAAAACTTACGTTCAAAACCATGTCATCAATTCTTAACCGAATTACACGAACTGGATGGAAATGGTGCATAAACTTAGGCCTACATGGTAATAAAACAATAAACACATTATTCATAGATAATATGTACATGTAGGCTACATATTATTATGTGATCTAAAAAATAAAATCTGTAGTGTCTGTTGTTGAAACGGTTAAACAGTTAAACCGAATGGGGATAGCGTTTCACGGGTAACCGGGCCTGATTTGAGATGATCGGTTAACCGACAATTTTTAGATATTGAAAGAAAGCATTTTTGATGAAAAAATTCGCCACTTTATTAATCTCTAAGCTGTTCTTTTCTCAAGTAAATAAACGTCTAAACTTGTTTGTTTTTGTTGATTGAATAAGTGAGAGGTTTATTGTGATGGGGTATCAATTATCAAAACACGTTTACCGCTGCAATGCAGTTTTTGATCTTGTTTTTTATCCTGAGTAATTAACCGGGATTAACCGAGTAACGAAAGGTTATTGCCGAAATTACCCGGTATAAGGTGAAATTAACTGATCGTATATGGCATTAATGCATCTAAGGTTTAAACCCAAATCAGTCCTGTATATCAGTCCTGTATATTGTATACCTCTCCTGCATGTATGACATGCGTTTTTTATTTTTTATTTTAGAACATTAGTGAGGATGAGATGCAAAAAATTGCCATGGAAATGAATCTGTCCGAAACGGCATACCCAAGAGTATTAGCTGACGGAGATTCTTTTAAAGAAAGTAGGTGTTTGTCTACAGTTTGACTGTCTTAATTTTACTGAGCAGTGATTAAGAACCATATAATACATTTGTGTTTGAAGAGTTTAGGCTAGAATGAATCGACGGCCTTTAAAATAATTCATGTAAACGATATTTTTAGGTAGTAAATTTGGATTACGATGGTTCACACCTGAAGCTGAAGTTAGTTTGTGTGGTCATGCTACTCTCGCTACAGCTTCAATTATATTTAACAAATTTGGTAAGTTAAGGCTATTCTGTTAAGCAAATTCAGTGAGTTCTGGTAAAATTCGCATCAGTTACTGGAGCTGGTGAATTGTGATCACGGTGATGATGGTAAGAGCCCAGTTTTCTCCTGCGTTGAAGTCTGGAAGATGCTGACGCTGGCACTAAACTGCTTTTATGAACTGAGGTCTGTAGATGTTCTGTGATGTATTCAGTCATTATAAGCCTGCATTATTAGACTGCATTTTCCCCCATTCTATGGGAAATGTTCACGAAGGAAGCTACATCCGATATGACGGTATATTATATTTCGACAGTGTATCTTTCTTACAGGTAATCTTTCTGAAAGATTAACATTTGAAACATTAAGTGGTGATTTATTGGTGGGAAGAAATGATGGATCCATGTTAGAGATGAATATTCCCACTGGGGTCACTGAGCCACAGGTAACCAAAACAAAGGTTACCCGTTTGTGTTATACCTATAGTATATAAAATACGGATAAGTCAGCGTCTAGGGTATAGATGTCTTTCCAGTCTCCCCAATGCTTCAATGAAGCTCCAAGTAGTATAAAACTGTTCCCGAGGATTCTATTGGATATTATATTTAATAAGACAGATTACCGCAGTGTATCCACCAAAAAGTAATTGGATTTACATCTGTAACTTACGGAGCCCCTAAGGCGCAATTGTAAACATATTTATTTATTATTTCGTTTAAACGAAATAATTATTTCGATTAAACGAATTAATTATTTCGTTTAAACGAATTAATTATTTCGTTAAAACGAAATGTTATTTCGTTTAAACGAAATAAATTATTATTTCATTAAAACGAAATAATTATTTCATTTAAACGAAATAATTAATTCGTTTAAACGAAATAATTATTTCGTTTTAATGAAATAATAATTTGTTTTGTTTAAACGAATTAATTTTTTCGTCTATTTCGTTTAAACGAAATAATTAACCCATCTTTTTATTTCGTTTAAACGAAATAATTATTTCGTTTAAACGAATTAATTATTTCGTTTAAACGAAATAAACATAGGGTATTTCGTTAAAACGAAAACGAAATGATTAATTCGTTTAAACGAAATAATTAATTCGTTTAATCGAAATAATTATTTCGTTGAAACGAAATATTTCGTTTTAAACGAAATAAATGATGTTATTTCGTTTAAACGAATTAATTATTTCGTTTAAACGAAATTATTTCGTTTAAACGAAATAATAAATAAATATGTTTACAATTGCGCCTTAGGGGCTCCGTAGTAACTGTTAGATCTGTATCCAACTTCAGATTTTTTTTGATTTTTTTTCAGGATAAAGTCAAATATTCTAATATGATAAAGGTAGTTTTAAATCTATTACTCATTATTACTATATTACATAGCATCTATTAACCGTGGAAAGTGGTGGTTCAATGGCAACATATCGCAACTATAATCTGGCTCATATGTATGTATGTATATAATATGTATTTCATACAGTCAGTTGCAATCCTTTGTCAAAAGCGTAGGTTGGATTTCCCAGAGGGGATTTTATTGTCATGATATCCCTTTTTCTATATACTCCTGCAAATCTTCGAGAGCCAAGATATAGATAATCTGTGAAATAAAGGAAACAGCGGTAATGTATTTTCAGTGTTTTGGTGAGACACCTGGAGTTGAGGAAATAGTTTACTGTTCATCACTAAAATATATTCTGGTTCATTTTAAAGATGGCTGGACGAGGTAATTAAACTCTTATAGGAAACGGAACTGAATGGCATTTTCGTGGTCATAGTACTTTAATAAAACATTTTAAATAAAATTGATGTCGGAATCATGGAGATTTATTTCTCTTAGAAGGCTGATATAGGGAAATAATTTTGAAACTTTTACTGTCAATAGTTATATGCATTTTGTGACAATTTTAACCTCAGTACCTGGCTTCCTTTGGCTGATATATTGGTTAATGAGAGCAAGTGTTTGGTCAAGAAAACATTCAGCTTAATCCGTATCATCAGCTTGACTTTGAGTATTCCTACGTCCTATATTCTTTTGGTGTATTACAGGAAGGAATTTGAAGATTGGAGGTTTAACATCACAAATTTACCGAAATCCACCGAGATGAAACCGACCTTAGTCATAGTAACAATAAGAGGTATACCGGATAAAGATTTTCAAGACGATGTTGGTCAACAGTATGACTTTCTATCAAGATGTTTCGCACCGTGGGTTGGGATAAATGAAGATCCTGTAACAGGTAAAACCAAAAATTTCAAATCGATAGTTTTTAAATTATGGGTTTCTTGTTTTGCACTTGAATTTATCAGGTCTGTTGAAAATTAATTTGCACGATGCAATAAGATATTGAGAATGACATACTATTTTCAGTGTTTTGCTTATTGAAACAAAATTTGTATTATTATGTTAATATTTCTGAATTGATTATATGACCTTGTGCCTATAGGTTCAGCTCAAGTTGTTCTGGCGCATTATTGGCAGAAAATACTGAATAAAACAGATTTATTCAGTGAGTATAATATAATATACTTCTAAAAAAATTAGCATAGTCATTTTCGTAATGAACTGACAGGTGTTGGTAGGTGTTTGTAAATATAACAAATTATCGCAAAAAATTCAATTTAAATTTATTCGTATGACAGGGATTGAAAACCTTTATTTGTGCCTTATAGACTATTAATAGATAACATGGATTTGCTCCATTTCAACTTTCAGTCAGACGTCTATGGTTCTTGCAATGCTTTTAGATATTATTTGAATGGAACCACAAGTATCTCGATTATTGGGCGTATTTCATAAATATTCTTCTATAAGATATTATTATTATTGTTTTCAGCTCGACAAGCATCTAAACGAGGTGGTAATATCAAGATAAAGTACCACGGGGATCGAGTTGATATATATGGCAAAGCTAAGATGATGATGGAGGGAATTTTACATTTGAAATAAATTCATTCTTTGTTCTGTTGTTTATTTTTGCATATAACCTCTGGTTAGACAATTACTTAAACAAATAATATCTAAGAGCATTGCAAGAACTGTAGACGCCTGACTGAAAATTGGAAAATAAACGCAACTTTTACTGTCTAGACTGAATTAAAACTGCGGCAACCCTGAGGAGGCGTGATAGTCACAGGCCTCTCTTTGAGTTTATCGAAAAATTAAATTCAAAACCGAATTTGAAATTTGAAACAGATCTATGTGCACAAGTAGTTGATTGACGATTTCACCCCATTATATAATGGCCATTATTTTGACAATTTAAATTTTATAATTTTTGTGTCTAATGAAAGTTTCTGATCAACTGATCTGTAGGAACAATCCTTGTAAGGCTGACTGATATACAGAAATAGTCCTGGTATGACTGCCCGATATTTTGAAACAGTCCTGGTAAGAGTGATTGTTCTATAAAATTCGCATCGGTGATTATATGGTTGTTATAATTCACCACAAAGTGTATGTGACAAAGATACAGTTTATTCTACCAAATATACAAATATAATGAGATATATAAATAGATATACAATAGTATTGCACAAAGAGGTAAAGTTTTTATAATAGATTAATAACTGATAATAGATTAATAACTGATAATAGATTAATAACTGATGTCCAAAATGTCCGAGTTGATAGAATCTTGTGTCTACATAAATATTTCCTCTGCTATACATCTAAACTGTTCTTTGAAGACTTTTTGTCTAAAATTATCTTTTATTTTATGATAATTGTTTAATTTGTACTGCCAGTACGGACTATTTTTAGTTTGCCTTGGATAATCTATCCCTGGTAAGAGAGCCCAATTGGGAACATCAAGAGGTGCTTGAAAATAAAATTCATCGGACCAGTTAATGATGGTTGTGGTTGACTCGATCAGATCTTCAATATTATCGTCTTTCATGTCCACTTCAGTTTTCCAAGGAAAAGCATCCAAATCAAAATCGACCCCCGGAAGCAACATCCATGGAGGGATGCCATCGAGAGAGGTCTGTACCCGCGGGTCGTCTGCCCACACAAAATCCTTCAAATTATCCTCTTCAAATACTGGACCTTAAAAAGAACGAGTAGTTAGTTAAAATCTCTCGGGGTACACAACATGGTCATCACTACAAATCAATAGTTGTATTGGTCAGAGCTTGGCCGAACTAGATAGGTTTCAGACAACAAGATTTCTGATTTTTTTTTTCAACAATTAAATAAAATATAAATAGTAAAATACCTTCAATCTTGGCCCATTGTGGAACATCAACATCTATACAGTTGGACCACGGCTCCTCCGCCCAATTCTCAATCTCCTTAAATTCGTCAATTTCATCGTTGACAGTCTTATTGTTGTTGTTGTCGATGTTATTATTTTGGTTGAGGTCAGAGTTCACACCTAAAATGAGAAAATGCTTTAGGTTACAGTACGAAAGCCTTTTAGGTAGCCTACACCTAAAAATACTTATTTTTATTTTTCTGAATATAATTTGCCCAAATCGAAATTTGGTATTCCACAAATCGAAATTTTGGATTCCACAAGTCGAAATTTTTGTTGTTTTTCTGTTTACTCGGGAATCAAGAGTAACTAAGAACAAGTAATCTGGCACAAAACACTCTATATTTTGTGTCGAATCGTAATTTTTACCTACAAAAAAAAAAAAAAAAAACAATATTTGGGTCGAAGAGTTTTTAAGAATTAGAAGGTTACAAACGCTATTTTCAGCTATAAAACAAATTGCTCTCTGATGAATATCGTGTATAGATAGGTTTCTCGACGTAGGGGAGATTCTAACATTCCAGGAAGAAATCACGATATTTCATCAAAAACTGTTTTGTCTTAGATTGCCGGAGATGGCGTTTATTCTTAAAAATGTCTGCGGATAATTCTCCTCGCAATACCGCATCGTCGAGACTGCCCAATGTGACTATAAAGGGATTTGTCTGGGTGAATTTAACGAAACTGATTCAAATGACAAAAAAAAAATCTCTGAATTGTATTTAATATTTTTATAGGTTTAGATTACTTACTGTTAATATCAGTGAAAAGTTCAGATTGGATACTGTTCAATAGATAATCCAAAATAACCTCGTCTACATAATAACTTATTACTGGTAATCTGAAATATTAATATCAACAAATTAATTTAGTCAACAACTTTCTTCTAAAACCGATTTAATGATTTCAGTTACAGAAAAACTTTACATTGTATATTCTAATACTATACTTACATAATCGTCATTTCTATTAAACTACAGAAAATATCAAAAACCACAAAACTCTGACAGCAGCAGAAAATGAATCCTTCAGTGTTTGAAATCCAAATACTACATGAATTCTAACCAATTTGACGTTATTTCTCTTATGACGTCATAATGAATATTAGAGAACAGATGACAATAAAATTCCATCATAAACACTGTAACAACGTTCTGAAAAGTTTTACATAATTTTTCAGTCTATACAACTTGACAAATTTGATTTTATTGGATTGTACGCCATCGAATACAGCAAATCCGAGCCCTCAACAGGGCTTGTTGTTTACAAACTTTCTGTAGAGGCCTCTGATTAGCTGTTTTCGATGTACGAAGTTCGTAATAGAAAGAAAATAGTGTCTTAGGAGAACCCAGTAATGTCAAGAATTATTTTAAGATGGACTTTTATGATTTATCAAAACTCTTATTTACATGCAATAAGAACAAATGATATGATTAGGAATACATGATAATTCATTAGAAACACCAATTAATCAAATAGTTTGCTTAATTTGACACAAAGATAAAATAAGGAAACCATTCTATTAATTTTCTATATAGCCCTGGTTCCCAACCTGGGGAACTAATACCTCTTGTGGGGGGAGGGGGTACCCTTTTAATAGCGGGGCTAAAGAATGCACAATTCAATTCCCTTTTTCTATGGGAGGCTCTTGACCTTGACAGTTGTTCCCGCAAGTCAGTTTGCCCCCTATCTGTCTCCCAGTCTTTGGCGGCCTCACTGGATAAGTTAAACTAAGACTAAGGTACGATTGGTCTTCGAAAATGGTGTTCTTCAGCCAAGATATCTCTGTCCTCAAATCTTATATCCCTTTACAGAATAAGGATATTTTTTCACATATTACAACGAACCAACATTTTTAAGGAGGACAGATTCGCCATCTACTGGGGTTGATTTTACCCTTGAATAAAATAGTCTTTACAAGTACAAGAAGTATACGAAAATCACATAATTTCTTCAATTAGACCTCAAACTACGAATTTCATTTTCTATTTCTATGTCTTTTCTATATTTGACAGAGTCTTGTGAAAAAACGAGTCGTCATTTTACTTTATAACGCGGATAATTCCGGAAACACATTATTTCGACGGTGAACTGTGAAAGCTGTTAGGCCACTGATTACCTTGGCTAAAGTACGACAATTGGTAAAAAGGAAATTGCGAACCTGTCCATTTAAAATTACATTCGCCTACGATCTGCTCTCAATAAGCATTCTTCTTTTTTACGAGTTATAATCTATGATGGAAATTAACGCTAGCTGTCAGTCAAAATTTTATTTGATTGAAAAATTCTCAATGAAGAAGTATCCACTAAAAAGATTCTAAAAAGAAGCACACGTTCAAATTCATACTACTATAAGCCGATGTAGAAGGTTGCCTTTTTAAATTGCCATTCAAAAACAAGACAAAAATGCCATCTGTTTGTTGGTCGACCTTAGTAGGTGAGTGGAAAGTAATGAGAAATTATTTCTATTGTCGGCCAAATATTTGGTCATCAATTTGAGGATTTAGAACATTTTCTATTAAACTGCTCCTTACATTTGGATGCACGAAGCAGATCGATAACCCCTTTACCAAACCAATTTAAAACTGGTATTAATTTGTTATGGTCTCCCTAATGATCATTTTCAGTCTCAATCCATTTTTATTATAGTTCTTTATTTAAGTTCATGTCTTCCTTTTAGTTTCAAAACGTTTTTAAAATTTAGAATTTACCCTTTTTCCCCAGCTTTGATATATTATAATAATGATCTAAGTAGATGTAGCTGTTTGTATATGTGTTTGTATATATACTTACAATATATTTTGTACATACAATATATTTTGTACATACGCAGAGTTTGTATTAGGAGAGGGGTTATATAATTGAAAGCCTGTTCCCCAATCCTTTTCATATAATTGTGAATATAATATTGTTTAAAGAAAAAAATATTTCTATGTGCATCAAGAGAATATTAGTCATAAACAGGAACTGGTCTACTACTACTGACCCTGTAGATGAAATGGATACAATAAAAACAGAGATAGATGGATATACTACTTCTGATTTCATTGCATACTAGTTTCGAAACACATACAGCTTTTTTAACTTTCAAACGCGGTTAATTGTGGACACACAAGGATTTAAAGGCTCAAATTTCGACTTGAGTTGTGAACACTATTTTTGATTGGCTCAGCTAAAAAAAATTTCCGTTTCTAAAACCTTAGAAATGATTGGTAAGATGGTGCATATGACTTCCATATGTCTTATAACTATTAGGACAACATTCATGCTGATCTATAATTATATTCATTAGCAATCGTCTACTGTTGAGCAGAGTAAGGTGTATTACTATTACCATAGTCATTTAAAAGGGTACAAATTAACTACAAATACTAGGCTGTTTTCAGGATAACATGTGAGGTTAAGCTGGTGTATGTGAAACGTTGGCATGGGGTTTAAAATTTGACACCTGGTCAAGAGGTGGTCTCCACACAGCAAGAGGCTGTGATATTGTGTATTTCATATTATGTTGAATTATAAATTCTGCAAAGCAACCTCTTATACATTTCCTCAAACAAACTTCATCTTTTACCTTAACTGCAGTGGCCACATATCTTGAGTCGTGGAATGCAACAATTTGATTGGACTGTAAACATTTTGACAAATCAAATGGCTGCATTTACACACTTCTGTGACACAATTAAGATGGCAATTGCAGTCAATGTATAAGAAAAAGTCTGTAGTAGCTTGACTTTATAGCCTCAAATGGGGATGCGACAGAATAGCTCATATACAAAACAGGACACATTTATAGGTCATATGATGTTCCCAAATTTTTGTTAACATTGAAAATCATGTACATCTTTCTAAAAATTAATACAAAAGTAGGCACAAAGGTTTTATTTATAAAATGCTAAGATAAAATTCTTAGTATTTGTGTTGCTCTCTCCCTTCTAATTTGAACATCTGTTTTTTCACTCTCTTTATCCTTGTCTTCACTTTCACCTTCAGAATCATTTTCAACAAGTATTTGTCCTGCTTCTTTGATTGTTTTTTCTTTGGAAGCACCTGTCAATCCTTCTAAATAAGCTAAAAGTCTTTTAAAATATTTATCTGATATTTGTGTTTGATCATACATATGTTGTAAAAGACACATTTGACGAACTTTCTGAAATTTCCATTCATCTCTGTGTTTGTACCATGTTTTTAAATATTTTAAAGCCAGTTTCACTCTCTGATCTGGATTTGGTTTAGTGGTGGGGGGTTTGGTGGCTTCACCTTTAGTTTGTTTACGCTTCTTTGTCCTCTTCACAGGGATTTGATTTGGAAATCTATCCTTTGGCCTTTCACTTTCATCTTGACCATCCTGTTCTACCAAATCAACACCATCGGCATCATCGTCGAAATTAATCTCTTTTTTCTGAGCTTTTTTGGGCTTCGTCTCTTCTCTGATTTCTTGATAGTGTTTCTTTGGATTTGAGTCATCAGTGTCCGACAATTTTCTTTTCGTCATATTTCGATTTCTTACCAACCATATACCAACAAAATTATCTCCAATTTAGTATTTCACCATGCTGGTTTGTTTACACCGGAAGTGAATGAGAAGGGTGATTAACTCTGAATTGTTTTCCAGACCACAGCAGATTCTGTTTTCCACTAAATACTTAGTGTATTTTACATCGACAAGTACATATACGTAGACATACGTAGTTTCCTTTTGGGATAACTGTGGTATTTTCTGGGATGGTGTTTTTTCGATCATACGAACATACAGTTCTATGGTTCAATGAAAGGAACTCTTTTGAAATCCTACATAAGCGACCGGACGATACTTTCATGTTCAGAAGCGGCCCTGAAAAAGTAAACAACTCAGAACTGACAAGAAGATTCCTTTGACGCAATTTGAGGATTGATGCAGATCTATTATCTTCTATGAATGACGGGATCATAACAAAATAAGAAGGGGGACAACAAAAATGGCAGGGTTGGCAGTCACAAAAGTTGTACACAGATGTGACGACGCGAAAGAGACCAATCGGTTAGGTATGCTTACTTAATTTCTACTTTGGGAGCCGCAGTGGCTCAGTGAGTTAAACACTTGCTCACTAACCTGAAGGTCCAGGGTTCAATCCCGGCATAGGTCGAGATAATACCTTCGGACTTTTCAACCCAGTTTCCCCCTGTCAGTGATGCAGGTACGGGGGGCTGACATGGAAAAAGCGTCTAGTCGTTCAGATGGGACAATAAACCGAGGCACTGTGTGCTACAAGCTGTGCACGTTAAAGATCCCTCGACAGTTGGAAATCGAAAAATAGCAGGCTAATGCCGCTGTCCTGGCAAAATTTCCCTCATTGCACCCTGCATGGCGTTGCCCGTCTTCATTAGCCCACATGGTGCAGAAAACTAGGACGTAAAACTCCATTTTTTTAATTTCTACTTTGTTTTTATATTATATGTACTGGTACATTATTATTTCTAGTAGTACAGTCGAGTAACCTAATTTCGTGCTTACCTTTTTTTCGTGCATCTCCAGAAAGGATTAATAATTTACATGTGCGACCTCGTGTGACCTCTGCATTTGCTTGTTATGATAAACATGGGTTATTTGCAAAATGTCAACTAGTAAAATGAATCCAGTAGTTTCAAGCAAGGTAAAATGTATTAATGTATACTTTGACAAATACAAAATGGCGGATTTCAGTTATTACCAAACGTCACCGAATTTCCTTATAATCCCAAACGGTAATCGGAATTCCAAGTGTTGTCTGCTAGAATGTAGTCCAACGAACGAAGTCACAGGAACAACTAGCGGATTCCGTGTCAGCAGAAAATTCTATTGAACACAATTTGGGCCATATTTTTATGTTGTTTCAATGGCTTTTGGCAATAAATTACACTACGTATTTTATTTTGTCAGTCACTATTTTTTTTTTAAATCATGGTTCTTTCAAGGAATTGTCACTAGTTATAGTGAATTGATATTTAAGATTAATACTAAGAGAAGTTAATTATACCACTGGGTATCCATACAACGTGTTTTTCTCAACTTATTTAGAGATCAAACATTGTATACGAAAATAGGTGACGCATTTTGTCACAGTTGTGAGTTGTTTACTCATGAAATATGGGTTAAAACAAACCAATTTCGATTATTTTATAGAATATCTGAGGAATCATGTAAGCCTTAAAAAAAATTTCTGTTTTTTTAACTTAAATTTGGTGTTGAATCCTTATATGCACGAAAATAGGTTACACCACTGTACATTAAGAAAGTGATACTACGTCTTACAATGAAAATAATTTCAGTTCTCAAGAATTGTCAATGTGAGTTTATATTCATCAGTGAACTTACTTTGTGTCATAAAGTTACAACAAAATTCCTGTAAAATCTAGAAAATTGGAAAATTCATAAAACTAAGTCATTGTTGAAAACACTTAATCTTGATATTTGATATTTTCAATAGTTTGTTGCATATTAAAGGATAATTACTATGTTTTTTGGATTTATCGGATTGTATAAGGATCCTGTTATGACACCAGGTATATCTACTGATGAATATAATATGCTCTTATCGGCCAAGTCTAAGATTCGTAAATTTTATGTTCATTCTATGACGTGGTATCATTTTAATGTATAATAACAGCAGATAATCTGGCCCCAGTTATGAACAAATGAGTGTACCGGTATTATATTAATTAATATCTTAAGTCAGTTTACTAATCAAAAACATATTGTGGAACATGACTGTTAAGATATAAAATAAGCACTGATTATATTTCAATCTCATCTCATCTATTTCAGATTTATCTGGCTGTCAGTTAACACAAGTACCGGATGCTATTTATTTACTCTTAAAAAGTACTCCACTAGAAGTTTTAGATATCTCTTCCAATTTAGTTAGAAGAATACCTTCAAAAATTAGTTCTAAATTTCCTCACTTAACAGGTAATTATCTTCTTTAATCTTTAGTTCTAACAGGCTACAGATTAATGTAGAATTCTTTTTATAAGAATTACTAAATTTGGTGAATAATGCCTTGGATAAGAATGACTGAATTTGGTATATGATGCCTTTCATAAGAATTATTACATTTGAGGTACCGGGTACCAAATATTTGCATGTATAAGCTTAGTGCACAGTTTTTTTTACCTTAAAAAGGCCTTGCCAATCTGTCATATTATACATAGTATAATATATGGTATACAGTTAATGCATAAAGCCTATGAAGAAATGCTCTATTTAGTATGCCTTTAATAAGAATTACTAAATTAAGCATAATGCCTTTGACAAGAAAAAATTTATTTAGAGTACAATACCTCAACAAATATATAAGTAACAAATATCTCTTTCTACCATCTTTGGATATCCACAAGAAGAAGAAATTATATTTATTACATTTTAAGATTGAAATAGAAAGTAGATGTTGTCATCTTTTTATTTCAGAATTAAATCTAGGCAGTAATAGACTTACTACTTTACCAGAAGAAT